ATTGGCCATTTTTGAGAAAGCAATTGAAAAGTTAAAAGCACATCAGGAGACTGATCAGATTAGTGTACTCAGTTTTGATGTACTGTAGTTATCACAGAAATATTAATGACTTATCTCTAATGAAAGGAAAAAAAGGTTTTTACCTACCACTGTGTCTGAAATTATTAGGTTTCAAACACAGTGTGACAGTTCTGAAGTAAGCTTTTATGCTATAATATAATTTGAAATTTAAAATCTAGTTTTACTCTGCTATTGCCATCTATTCCACTGGATGTAAAACTGAACATCTTGACTGGCTGAGGTCAAATCATGGCCATCTGACATGTTTTTTTCAAGTAAACAAAATATAACCAAGAAAGAACTTTGAATTCATAATTTAAATTACTTAAATTTTGACATGGAGACAGTATTGCCCACAGAGTGCTGCCTGTATTCCAAATGGAGAATTTTATGTCTGCTATTAGCTTTTAGGTTAACTATTCTTTAAAAGTTAGTATTGATATCTGTAGGTACAGAGTGTAGGGTAGCTTTTACAGATGAAGGAATATCTATGTAGCAGTTTTACACTTGGAGCACTGAAAAACTTACATTCTTTCCTATTTCAAAGGCATTTATTCACTGAATATTTGCTGAGTGCCCTGAGAACTAGAAAAAGAGTGAAACATCGTCAACACATTCTCATTGCCATTTAAAACCAAATTAAATTTTCACTGTATTGATAACTGTTTTACTTTTGCTTTCCATGAACCTATACTTACAGGATTCTTTGAGCAGACTTCATATTTAAAGAAATAACTACAAATGTTAGATGCAGATATTTAATGATAATTTATCACAGTTGTTTGCATTGCAGCCTTGCCTTACAGATTCATTCAGTGAGGGAGCAGAATTATATCATGCATTCTAATCATTCACATAACTCAAATTTAAGATAATTAGTATTTTGAAAGCTTTGTTTGAAGTGAAAATTACTTGCAGATCTTTAAATCTGAATAGCATTCAATAACAAAAGGAATCAAAGAGAATTTTGATATTTTGGTAAGATTTTGTAAAGAGCAAAAACAAAGGAGTGCATTCAATCCTGTATAAAGAGTTCTTCAGGTGTGTCAATTATAATATTTGGTTTTTAGCATTACCAAGTACTAGCTCTTAAAACCTGTCTTATGATTTTTTAGTAGTGATTTGAGTGCTCAGTTAAAACTTTTTAGGTATGAGGTAATTTTAAAAGCATCTTTCTTTATAAGTCCACATAAATAATAGATCTGCTGTTAAAGCAGAGGCAGAATTCAGTTACTTCTGCAGCTGTAGGCTGGTATTATATCCAGTTTTAAACCACCCACATTTCCACAGCATCCACCCAGTTATGTGTTAAGTGGCACGATTAACATCTGTCGTGTGTGCTTCACTGTCAGCCTTAGAAAGCTGGGTACGTAGGATAATAATTTATTTTAGTAGAGTTAATTTTAATTGTATTTCTGTATGCCTGAATTAGAAAAGGCAGACTTGAAGATGTGCCCTTGAAGCAGAAGGCAATAATGTTGTATGTACCTAGTGAGACTTAAAGTCCTCATTTCAGCTATCTATGAGAAAGTTGGCTCCTGCCAAGTGGGGTTTTCCTTTTGAAGTGTCAGGTTCCTTGCAATGTCCAGAAAGCTCCATGGTTCAAAATGATGGCCAACAATCAATGGTGGTTATTGTCCACCATTTCCGGACATGGAGTTTTCTGGAGCTCTTGGACCTTTAAAGACCCTGGAGATGAGGTGTAGGTGAGACGATGACACAGGTGGTGGCTGCGTAGCTGCTTCAATAGTTCAGTTTCCTGCCTAAGCTTCGACTCTGTACTTAAAAATATTGGATGCTGGCATGTCTAAATTTCAGTTCCAAGTGGTGGGAAATTCACAAGATCGTTGTTTTTTTCTCAAATGTTGCCATCTTGGCCTGAACTCAAATGACAGCAGCTGTTCTCATGAGATTTCAATTTCAGCCAACTGAAAAAACAGCCTTTTCCTTTTCAGATTTAGCCAGCTAGTGATGGTAGCAGTGACTTCTCTTCACAATTTTAGGAATCCATAGATCCCCTCCCACATGCCACACATACATGAAGAATAAAATGGACTCCAGAGTGCTATGTCTTTATTGTGTCTGCTGAATGGAGTTGTGTATTTTGTATGTGGAAAACATGGCCCAGTCCTCCAGTGTTCAGCATTTACATTTAGTATGCAACATATTTAGTCACTAAGGATTTATGTATAAAGATCTGTAAAAGAACTTTCCTCTAGGGAAGCACTGACTGGGAATGACTTCCACCTTCAGTCACGCGCAATCCTATTGAAATACCAACTCCTTCTGATTGATTTCTGCCAGTGTTCACTTGCCCTTCTTCCTCTCCAGCTTTCAGCAGCATATGGAGCATCAACAGACTCGTGGGCAGCTTGGCTTGACCTGAAAAAATGAGAAAGCAGTACTGATTTTAAAAATAGGGTGTGGAAGCTGAAGGCACCTCGTGCTTCTGTCTCACAGGAGCAGAAGGAGTGGCGAAGGTCAAAGAGGACTTGGTGTGTGTGTGTTGAGAGGATTAGGACCAGGTATGAAAGGAAAAAATAGGGTTGTACTTCTCTTCCCTTCTTTTACACATGGGTGTTTTCCTTGAGTATGGCATGGGACTGTGACTTCTATAGTCTCTGATGTAAGGTGAGAAAGGTGCTCCCTCCCCCAGGGTGCCAGCACTGTGTCCACTCTCAGCCTTCTAACTGATGGGCTTTCAGTCCCTGGCTGCTCCTCTGGGGTATTTTGTTACCAGGCACCTTTTTCCTAACCACCATCCAGGGTGGGCAGCCTGTGATCCTGGTGGCTAGCTAGGAAGATGTCAAGAATATGTCTTCAGTGCCCCAAGGCAGAAAATTGTGGTTTGGAATAATGCAGATTTGGATCAATTTAGACTGTAGGAAAGGAGGAAAACATTGAGAATTTATTATAGTTGTGAATAACCACTTACATGAGAGTCTTACATGGGTTTTTCTTAGTCTTTCTCCTATCTGAATTCATAGAATTCCTGATGATCAGCCTGAGAGCCATGTTGTTCAGGCTTCTTCTCGTGTTGTAGAAAGGAAAGTCTAAAACTTTCTGTCTAAGAGTTTATTTAATCCAGGGATGTGAAATTCCCAGCCAGATTGATAGGAGGTTAAATTCGTGATTGTGGGCTGAAAAACTGAGTGACACATTTGAAACTTGATCTTAGATTTGAAGTATGAAAGGGAGTGTCTTTTCTAGGCTGGTGCAATGCTGTTGTTAAACCTTGTGGAGCTGAGATGAGTTAGCTGGTCACTGTTATATGTGTAAAGATTAAGCTCTCTGGCATGTATACATCAGTCCTCTGGCTGTTCAGACACCATAAAAGAAGAAAATCTGTCCGCAAATATTCTTGGTATGTTGTCTATGCCACATCCAAATCCAAGGCTGTGCTAGTATGTGCTCACTTAGAAACCACCAATGGAATTAAATTTAACAAGTATAAGTGCACGCCTGTACCTGAAATCTCTGTGCAAGTTTGTAATATGAAATTCTCCATAGTTGTCATTGGAGAGGAATGGGCCTTTGTTAGGGTAGATTCATCTCATCCTAAGGTTCATGTTTTTCTATGCCAGATGTAACCTAGAGTGAGTAACTCAGCTGGGGATACCATTTTTTTTTGGTAGGTGTGCGAAGATAGACAAGTTGAATCTCCCTCCTTGTGGCAGTGAGGCAACATGGAGCTACTTGCCAGTAATTATGTGTCAGAGCTAAATCTTCTTTCTTGGGATCAGGAAATTGGAAGCAGTTCCTGGATGCCTGTCCTGTGCATCAGAGAGTTACAGCACAGGGGGATATCTTGCCCCAAAATCTGTGTTAATGAACACTTAGAGCAAACATAAAAATAACTTTAAGGAGAAAATTCTCATTAGCAGTCAGGACTGTGGATACAGAGCTGGCAAAGAATGCCTGGAGCTGGATGTGATATTATAAAGGATAGAAACATGAACTGCCAAAAAATGCTTTAGGTAACCCATCTCTCAAACTAACAGGTCTGGGACTAGGAACTTAGAAGATTTTCCACTATCTTACTGGATGACCTTGGAAATATTTTTTCTTCTTGTTATAGCTCTAATTCCCAGTAAATATAATGTGGACAAGACATGGATTTCTTGTAAAAGCCTTTGTGTGGGTTTAAGGCAATTTACAGGGTGGTGCCTGGGAAAAAAGCTACCTCCCCTTTAGTTTTAAGGACTATTCTTTCACAAGTGAGGAGAGACAAATATGAAAAGATGTAAGTAAAAAAAAAAAAAAAAAAAAAAAAAAAAAAAAAAAAAAAAAAAGTTTAGTAAAAACTGAAACAGTAACAGGCACAATAACAGTAAAAATCACTAGATACAAAGGTGCTGATTCCCAAGGATTGCCTGGGGAATGAGGAAAAACAAGATATGGAAAGATATGGAATATAATACACTTTCTTGGGTTACCCAGGACACCCATTGTCAGGCCAAATGAGGAGGTTTTGTGTAAATGCTGAAGGGTTTTCTCCTGGTACTAGAGAGGTATGGAGTTCTTAAAAAGCACTGTAGAACTGCCATTTAATTTTAGTCCATAGGTCTTAATATAAGATAGTATTAGAAATATTATATTAATAGATGCAGTAACTTAACCAATGATGAGGGAAAAAAAAGTTACAGGTAGAGTAGCTCTAATTGTGCTGGAAATTAGGTAACTTAAAGTAGTAAAAAATAATCCATGTTTTCAATATACAGAGGTCAGGAAGCAAGCTTTATTGTAGACAGAAAATAGACTCACTCATCTTTCGTAGGAAAATATGATTTTATAAAAGCAACAGATATCTTCATCAGCATAAATCTAAATAAATATAGTGATAATAATACACAAGTGCTTTCTAATGAAGGTTTTTCTATTAGTGATAAAATATGTTCTTTAGGAACTGAATCCATGTTCATGCTTGATTTATCTGACAGAGGCCAACGAACCTTCCTTGATTATGTGATTTGATCTGATCTTTGATTAGAGTGGCTATGGTAAGATTTCTTTCGTTTTCCATATATGAATTCTACTTAAATCACAGAGTTTGAGATTTTAATTTAAGCAGTTCTTCTACATTTTATGTTTTTCCACGTTTTTTAACCTCTGCAAGAACTTCACGCTTTCTTTATTGGTGTCCCAAATTCTTCCTGTCTAGGCTGTATAGAAATAATGTTTTACTGTCTCTGTTGCTATTAACACAGTGTCACAGGGTATAAGAATGACCTGTCCAAGTTTTTTACAGGACACCAGGTTGTGTTGCCTTGCCCAGAGATAGAAGGATGGATGTTTACTGTGAGAATCTTTCTAGAGCTTGGGAGTAGAGGACCTGGGTGATTGCAGTAATTCCCAGCATGAACTGATGTAAAGCAGCACTGGTATTTTTTCACTGAGGGAGACCAGGAGCAGTCAGGTGATCCACAATGATGTCTGGAGGCAGAAATTAATGGAGTCAGTAGATGCTGAAGTAAACTGCTGCAATGAGGTCTCGAAAAAAGCATGTTATGTCTGCAGCCCTAGTTGAAGGAAGTGAATTACCTTAGACAGTCTTGAGCAGAATGTGAGGAGCAGGGCTCGTTTGTGGCCAGCTGCCATATGCTGTTATTAAAAATGACAATGGCAAGGACACCACTCCAGTGCACCACAGTTGCCTTGAATGCAGTTACATTTTTGACTTTTGAAACATTGAATTGTGAATGGTTTTCAACAAATCAGATGGAACATGCAGAAAAAAATGGTTCAATTGTCCAATAAGAAATGTTGTTAGTATATGCTTTTCTAAAATCGATTTTATTGTCACATTGATTTTGAGTTCTTCTTAACAACAATGAAAAGAAACGAATGGAATTTTAAAAATTCATGTAGCACTTCTTTTCTATTCTAAAATATTTTCCTGCAATATAATTATTCAAAGGATTTCTGTCTGAGTTATATATTAAAATATTTAGAATTGCATTTACATTTGTAAAGACATGTGCTACCTTGTGTGTCCTGCCACACAGGTAGAGCAGTTTAGCCTGCATCAGGCTAATGCTGATATGAATCCACACATATAATATCTATTATCCATTTATATTTTTATAAATATTTTTATAAATATTTATATTTTTATATTTCTCCTTTCTTTATATATTTCTCCTATTTTTATATTTCTCCTTTCTTTTTATATTTCTCCTTTCTACCTAGAAAAATGAAATTCAACACATGTAGCTGAAGTGGTTTAAAACATCAGTAGCTGTTCTCTGCCAGCAGGTCACAATCAGCCACTGAGCCACCTTAGTGGGTTGGGTTGGCTGTCATCTACATCTGTACAAAGTCAGCTGGGTTAGTTTATGCCTTGGTGCGTGTGGTTGTTCAGTCTGTTGTGGAAAACAACTGCAGGATCTTGCTCCTAAACTGTTACAGCTGTTTCCAAATTATTACCAATTCTCTAGGGCTCTGGTGTAATGCTGTGTGCAGACCAAGGCTTTTTAAAAAATGTCAAACATATCAGAAGCCATCTTAACAACGGTGAGGAGTGTTTTAGAACTATTTTTGCCTTAATTGTATATTGGGAAGAGAGACAGTTCCTTGCAAGAACAGGACTTCCTAATAATGAATTTATAAGAATAAAACTTGTAAAGTGTATTTGACAGTATTTAGCAGCTGCAGAATTTCGTTATTTGTTCCCTGATTTCATGCTGTCAAATCTGACAACATGAACTAGTGCCAGTCTTTGCTTTGAAAGACAATTTCCTTTTATAAAAATCCTAATTATTAAAGCTAAATTTAGATTTTATTAGAAGGAAGTTTTTAGTCTTTTATATTTGTAAAATAGCTTTCAAAAATGAAGTTGGTTCTACCTTTGACAATTAATCAAAATGGTATTTAATGAAAGCCAGATTTTTTTTTCCACCTTCTGCTACCAATGGATGAAGTTGGTGTGAATGGCGAGGAAGGCACTTGTATTTTTGATACACATAAAACATGGTTATCAACTCTGTAGAAGTCTGGATTTATTAACCATTTTCAGACACACTTAGTTGGGCACATTTGAATCTCATTTAGCTAAAGATACTATTGATCACCCACTGCATGTGGAGGAGAGGGTGTTCAAACTGGGAAGTTAACTTGGATGTTGCCATAATTTGGGTCCTAAAGATATACAACCCTTTTGTCTTTAAAATGACAGTGCTTTTAACACCCTTCTTGATGGAATTTTCAGGTACTATAGGCAAAGGTTTGAATTAATGCAGATTAACAGCTGCTACTGTAACCTGTGCTCTGGATACAGGCTATCACAGCTCAGATGCTACTGGCCTTCTGAACTGTTCTGTGCTTTGTCCAAATTCCATCACAACCCAGAAAGCACAGACCAGTTATTCCACTGCTTACCTGAAAATAATGCATGTGACAGTTTATGGTTTGGGGGCAAGATACGCTTTTATTAACTAGCAGCAAGCTAGTCTTCTGACCTCTTTCCCTGGAATACACCAGACTTCTGGATGCAGAACTGATGTTAAGTGTACAGTTGGCTGGTAATGAGGGATTTGAGCCCTTTTCCCTGCTTCCCCCACAAGAACTTAGTGTAGAGACTATAATGAGAGTTACAGTAAGTATGCTGACAACCATGGAGGAAACTGGTGCTGGTGTTGTGGGGCATCTTGACTATGTTTTCACAAGTATAAGTCATAGAAGTGGGACCACTGAAGGAAGCGCTAATGAAACATGAATTTTCTGCACCATCCAATGATACAGCCATGTTTAGCTGCTGAAACAATATTCCTTAATGAACAGTTTTGAACTTACTGTATTATACTGCTGTAGTTCTAGCCTAATTCTGTGAGAAATAATGAAGCATATACATTAAGAATGAGAAAATCTTAGCACAATGCAAAGTATTGTAGAACACATACCTATGAAGCATCCAGTGCACACAAACTCATAGAACTTTCTGTAGTTAAGATGGGAAGGAATCTCTGGAGATCATCTAGACCAGCTCCTGTGCTCAAGTAGGATCAGTTGAAGCAGATTGCTCAGGGCCATGTTCAGTCAGATTTTGAGTATCTCCAAGCATAGAGACTCCAAAACCTCTGCAGGAAACCTGTGTTCAATCAATGTCTTGATTAAAAAAAGCAAGGTTTTCTTATGTTTAAAAGGAATTTCCTGTATTTCAGTTTGTGACATTTGGCTCTTGTCGATTCACTGGTTCCCACAGAGAAAAGCCTTGCTCAGTATTCTTTGTACCCTCCCATCACATATTACACACATTAATGAGATGCCCTGACCCTCTGTTCTCCAGGATGAACAGTTCCAGCTCTCTCGGCCTCCCCTTGTATGACCCTCACTTGTCTTTGTGATCCTTTGCAGATCCTGCTCCAGTAGGTCCATGTCTCTCTTGTACTGGGAAGCCCTGAACTGGACAGAGTACTCCAGGTGTGGCCTCACCTGGGCTGAGTACAGGGGCAGGATCACTTCTCTTGACCTGCTGCCAGTGCCCCCACCTCATGCAGGTCAGGACAGTGTTGACCTTCTTTGTGAAGCTTATATGGTCTAGTATTGTGTGGCAGGTTTCATTAGAGAGAAATAAAGTTTTAGGGGAAGTGAACTAGCTTGAATTAAATTTTTAAATGTCAAAATATGACCTCAGTGAAGTGAACAATGTGTGCTAGTAAACTACAGGAGAGAAACTGTCAATCTGGGAATAAGACAACAAGCCCACAGAGGCTTCACAGTGATCAATGAAAGAACCTAAAAAACCACCAGAGTATGGTGTATTTCTTGGGAAATCTCTTGGCCTGAGAATAGGCCTTGGGGTGGCACTGGGCAGGGGGCTAGGACATCTAGTCGGCTACCAACTACCAAATGGTATGCTGCAGCCTGCGGTAGGTCTTTGTGTAAGCTCCATTTTTATGTAGCTGTCTTCTTATTAGAATTGTATTTGGTTATATATCTAAAATACTCCTGCTGCTGTCCTTGCATAAAGCCAGTTGTAAGGAATAGTTAGGGGTAAGTTTTTGTGTTTTCCCTCTCCCTTGCTTCCACTTATTTAGTCATGAGAACATGATGAGGAACTGTTTTGGTTTTTTTTCCCACATGCTGAGTGATTAAGGACCTGAGTGCTGAAGACCCACTTTCCCCTTCCCTGAGCATCATTTTCTCTTCCACCCAATTTGCAATATGTTTTTTAGGCTCTGCTGGAGCTCATGAAACATTCATACCTGTGGTTATATGGTACATTTTGTAGCACTTGTACTGTGGTATTACTGTGTGCCTTTAGCCACATGACATCCTTGTGTCTGACCTGAGAGACATGGATTTTACTGATGGACCACTTGGTGAATAAGTAATTGGCTGGATGGATGCACTTTAAAGTGTTGTAGTCAGTGACTCAGTGTCCAGGTGGAGACCAGTGACAAGTGATGTTCCTCAGGGACTGGTGTTGTGCCTGACACTGTTTGACATCTTGGCAACATGGACATAGATTGAGTTTGCCAATGACACCAAGCTGTTCAGTGGGGTCAACGTGGTGCAGGAAAGAGATGTCGTCCAAAGGGACATGGGCAGACAGGCCTGTGTAAACCTTACAAAGCTCTACAAGGATCTACAGATGGATCAGTGCATTCCCAAGTACAAGTATAGGCTGGGTGTGAATGGATTGAGAGCAGCCCTGAAGAGATGGGTCTTGATGGGTGTTGGTGAATGAGAAGCTCAGCATGACCCAGCAATGTGCACTCACAGTCCAGAAAGCCAGACACATCCTGGGCTGCTTCAAAAGATGCATAGCCAGCAGGGCAAGGGAGTTATTCTCCCTTGCTGCTTCACTGTGGTGAGACTCCACCTGGAGCACTGCATCCAGCTCTGGAACTCTAACAGAAGAATGACATGGACCTATTGGAGTGAATCCAGAGGAAAATGAGCAGAGGGCTGGACGACCCCTCCCAAGAAGACAGGCTGAGAGATTTGAGTTGTTCAGCCTGGAGAAGAGAAGGCTCTGGAGAGACCTTATAGCAGCCTTCCAGAACCTCAAGGATAGGAGAGCGCTATAGAGGGGCTTTTTTACAGGGGCTTGTAGTGATAGGGCAAGGGGGAGTGGCTTTAAAAGGAAAGTGTAGGTTTAGATTAGATAATAGGAATATGTTTTTTATTGTGAAAATGATGAAGCACTGGCACAGGTTACCCAGTGAAGCTGTGAATACCCCATCTCAGGAGGCATTCAAGGCCAGGTTGGGTGGGGCCTTGAACAACCTGGTCTTAATAATAGGTATCCCTGTCCATGACAGGGGGGTTGGAACTAGTGGTCTTTAAACTAGTGGTCTTTGAAACCAGACCATTCTGATTGTATGATATATGATATAGTGTTTACATGAAATATGGACTTAAATGTTTTATCTGAAAACATGCATGAAAGCAAGTAATTCTCTGCTTCCTTCCTCCCCCAGAATCATAACTGTCCATGATTATATTGTCAGAAGTTTATGTCTGGCCCTAGTTAATGCTCTTTCATTTCATGGTGGTCATACTTCCTGTCTGAGACCTTCAATACTGATCCTGTACTTGGAGGTCCGTTCTGATCTGCCAAAACCAAAGAAATGAGTATCCATAAACAAGAGGGAACTGAATAAGATGATTGCTCTGCTTCCTTTTTCTTGAACATATTGTAGTCAGATTTGGGTTATAATTTGAAATAGAATTGAAAAATTCAAAGGAAGCCTCATAATGTTCTTAAAATCTCTCAGATGAGAAGTCTTTTTAGGTGGCTTAAAGAAACCCATGCCACATGAAATGTGTTACCCATGGGCCCTAGTTTCTCCATGTCTGCCATTGCTGTTAAGAAGCCCTTTCTCATGCAGCCTATGGCTGGCATCTTCCAGGAGGGTCCCATTGGTTTAAAAGATACTTCATTGTGTGGTTGTTCTGGAGGTTTCAGTTTAGGAGAATGCTGAAAAACAACCCACAAGTTCATCTGAATGCTCTGGCTAGCTGGATTAATTTTCAGGCTGTTTTGTGTGTGTTGAAGAAAACATCATATCTGAAGGAGGTTTTTGCAGCCCACCTACTTGATGGTTGGGACTGCCCAGGGAAGCAGTGCAATTGCAGGAGAACCCCTGTGGAAGAACCCCTCTATGTTAGCCTCCAGAACAGCAGGCTCACTGAGGCTGGAGCAGTTGGAGGTGGTGACTATGTCTGCTGGATGTTGTGGCCAAGTTATGGAGCTGAAGGAGGAGAGGAGCAGACCATGTTTATGGTATCAGGGAAGATGGAAGAAGGACTGAGAGTGTCTTCACAGAGACCCTGCAGAGATGAGAACCTGAATGTCCTGACTATGGAAAACAGAGCAGCCAGTCTGTGGGAAGTTTTTATATTAGTGGAGGAACACTGTGTTGAGGAACACAGGAGGCTTATGACTTCTGTCAGAAGTTGTCCTTACAAGGTTGCTGTCTTACCTTCAAAAGGACAGTCAGGCAATTTCTGTGCTGAATGGATAAATGCAAATGTGGCCACCTTCAAAAAATCCCAGAATTTTAACTTGGAGAACTACAAGCCAGTCAGCCTTAATTCAGCCCCTGGGAAAATCATGGAGTGAGTCCTTTTGTAATATGTTTCTGGACAAATTGGTGATTGAAACAGTCAGAATGTATTTTTTAAGGGTAAATGATTCTTGACCAACTAAGTTGCCTTACTATGCTGAAATCTCTATTGTTGTGGATGAGAGAGTACTGTGTCATTGACCTTGGCTTTAACAGAAAGTTCTATACAATTTCCCATAATATTCTCATGTCCATATTGGGGCCTTACTGTCTGGATTAACTAGTAACAAATAAATACCCAGCTGGACATTTAGGCTCAGAGTGTAGCAGTTAATGGTTCATATTCTGCCTGGATACCAGTGGAGTGCCAAGGGGTTTCTACCCTTTAATGTACTTTTCAGTGACCTGAAAAAGGCAATAGAATGCATTTTGGTTTAAGTTTGCAGATGATGCCATACTGGGAAGCCCAGTAGATAGCACAGCATTTTCATCTATAGGGACCCTGATAAATAAGAGTAGTGTGTTGACAGGAACCCTATGAAATTCAGTAGGGCAGATGCATGCTCCTGCTTAGAAGCAATGTACCAGAGTGGGTTGGAAATTGACTAGTAGCAGTTCAGCAGAATATTTTGGCAATCCAGCAGATGGGAAGCTGAATATAAGCCATCAGTGTTCCTTGGCAGCAAAGGCCAACAGCATCCAGCAGCCAGGAAAGCAAGGGGAAGTATATCCTCTAGTCAGCACTCACTAGGTGTCATCACAAATATTGCATCTTTTGGACCTTTTCCATCTTCCCTGATAGAATACATAAAGTTTTGGACCCCACAATACAGGAGAGGTGATTATGAGGTGCAGGGAGTTCAGCAGAGGCCACCAAAATGGTCAGGGATTGATCTGGGGCTCTTGTCCTCTGAGAGCGGCTGAGGCACCTGGTCTTGCTCAGCCTGGAGAAGAGTTTGCTTTAGGGGGAACCTGTTAGTACCTACAAGGAGTTTATTCAGAAGATGGAACCAGGCTTTCCCAAGCACTGTGTTGGTTGGAGGATGAGAGACATTTGGCATGAACTGAATTGAGAGACTCAGAGTGAATATAAGAAAAAGCTTTCTCATCATAAGGATAGTCAAACAGTGAGTAGCTACCCAAAGACTGTGTAATCTCCACCTTTGAGGTTTCAAGACTGACTGAGCAACCTGATATGACAATAGAGCTGACCCAGTTGTGAGCAGTTGGTTGGACTAGATCATCTCCAGAGATCCCTTCCAACCTCAAATAACCTGTGATCCTGTGTGTAGAAGTATGTATAGATTATGTACAGAATTAATTCTGTGGAGACTGTAAATGGAACATGTCTTCAAAGACAACACAAAAGTGGTTCACTTTTGACAAGTAATGTATACTTTTCAAAATAAGGAATATTCAGACTTCCATGAAAAGAAAAATAAAATGTAAAAAAATCTGTCTGCTTTTCTCTGCCTCCCCAGTTTCTTTGCAGATCTTATTTTAGCCCAGAACCAGCAAAGTCTGAAATGTTGTCACCATATTCATGCACACATTCCTTTCCTGTATTCATGTTGAATGCATCTCTGTGAAAGATTTAATAAATGGCTTCCATTTACATCATTTATGTAGTGAATAGAGCATGAAAGATGGAAAAAAACAGCTTTCAAAATATCAGTGTAGCTGTTCTATTTGGGGACAACCCTTCAAACACCTGAATTCTTGCATGTCTACTAAAGTGAAGACAGTAAGGGTGATACATGTATTCATGCTGGTGTTTGACAGTTTGCAAATAATTCATACAATAAATGTCCCCTAATGTAGTCTAAATGCATCTCTCAGATATTTCCAACTGGGCAGCATAGATGTAATCAAGAATAATTGAAGAGCTGATTTTGTGCTATGTTAACAGAACTGTCTTCCTGAATAGGTTAGGATGCCTAACATGTTGGCTTTCTCCATGATCATATTGTTTGAATTGGATGTGGAAGAATGGTTAGTACTATTTAGTCATAATCTGTCATAAGAATCCTAAATAGCTTTGGAAAAAAAATCATAATTATGTTCCTAAGACTGATGGTATTTCAGATCTTGCAGTGGTAGAGGTTTTTTGGTCTTGCCTCAGAATTACTTTCAGAAGAAGAAGTACACTCTCAACCTAATCATGTCAGCATCAGAACACCTGCAAAAATAGATCAAAAGAAAAAGTGGAATTACTGAGATTTCCTTGCTATGAATAGCACTCGTGTGAATGTGTTAAGCAGTCATGTTGGCTGTACTGAAAATGCAACATACCCAGTGGAACCAATACAAAAGAAAACAAATCTGGGGATGTATTTACTGTTTGAGATAGCAGTTTGGATATTTCTGTGGTGTAGTGAGTGGAATACCTGTGGGGATCATCAGATGGGCCTCAAGCTGGAGTATGATCATGAGAACTGCAAACACAGCAATGCTGTTCTTGTGGGGGAAATGCTGGGTTTTGTTGTGTCAAAAGTGAAAATCTTACTTGACTCCTGCAGTCTTAATGGTTGATCATCTCCCATGGGTGCCTGGCCTAGAAACTACCCAGATCAAAGTGATCAGCTCCCAAAGACTGTGCGCATCACAATCGAGGAGAGACATGCTTTGTTTACTGGTGGACGCCAGTGTGGTGGGATGGGAAAGGCACCAAGTTTCTACCAGGGTTAGAGACCTTCAAAGCCTGTGTCTATAACTGGTACCTTCCACATTTCTGATAGCAGTTTTGTGCTAGCTTGTGATAGTATAATGATGTAAGTAAGAATGGCCAAAAAAAAAAGTGATCATCGCAAGACTGCTTAAAACTGCTGGAGATGGAAAACAAACTAATTGGGTAAGAATATGCTCCTTGACTACTATTCCTTTGTAGCCATTTGATCTTCCTTAAGTAGGGAAACTATTAGTCTCTTTGGCTCTGTATTTTTATTTTGCAAAAAGGCTTAAAAAACCCTAAACACCAGAAAACCCAAATCACAGGAAAAAAAAAAAAAAAGCTGCTAAGGGTTTATTTTAATCGTGCTCCTTAGAGCACAACAGAAATGTTAGAATGTTAGCTCTGTCCTTCCTTTCATAACACTTCACATGTCCTGTATGTATCAGTATTTGCTGGGAACTGGAGAAGAGGAAACAATTTCCTTTAGAGCACAGCACCCAAGGAATAGGTCACTAAAACCTTTTGATAGATTTTGTGATGACTTCATGGGTCTCAGCTAAAGTTAAACCCTTGACATGAAGATAAAGGTATTGAAATATTTTTGTCACGACATTCATTACTACTTACATTATTTTCTTCATGCTCAGGTGAGCAGAGCATGAGTAGGAGCTTCATTTAACCCAGTGGAATTAAGGAAAGTGTATGGAGAATGGGATTTGCAGCCTATATACTGTTGTTTGGTTATCAACACAAAAAAACTTGTTAGTGCATTAAATTACTTATATTTGCTGCTATTTTAAAGATACTGACAATATTTTTTAGGTCTCAAGTCCCTCCCATCCTCCCCCAGCCTTTACCTGTGATTCATGATCATTATTTAGAAATAATTATGCTGAAACATGGTGTAAAAGTTTCCAGTGTGTTAAATTACATTTTCAAGTAAATTCTTGATAATTGTTAGATATTAGGACATTGAACACAGCATCTTCTGACAACTTTATATGTTTCTGTTTTACTTCCTTTATATTTGTCCTGATTGAATAATGCCTGGTGAAGGCACTGCGCTGCTTTCATATTTCTGAGTGTGCTAATTACAACCTGCTCATGTTTATTTGTCTTTGCATGTCCCAAATATGTCCTGTTTTAACAGGAAATACAGGAAATACAAATCTTTGTTATTTGCTGCTATAGCTAAACTAAATCAAACCAAGCAGAAGACAGGCCAAGGGAAGTTCAGACAAAGTAGGCCTGACATGTGTAGGTCCCAAAGCCTTGAAAACTCAGTGCAAAGCCCGTGGCTTGTTCCTGGAAGTGGCAATACTGGGCTGCAGGGTTGCAAAAACTGACAGGGCAATTTAAGCAGTAGGCAATAAATCATACCTTGCATTTTATTTTATTGTATTTTATTTTAATTTTCAGTTATTGCAGAGCTTTTTCAGAGCATGCAGTGAGTGACTTCTTAATTTATATTTTGCCCAAGTAACTATTCTGTAATTAAAATGTGTCTTCTGTGTGGGTTTTTACCCTTTGCTTACAGTCACAAATTTAGATTGATCAGGCTGTGATAGTAGCTGTGACATTTAATGTTTTTTATAGGCCATTCTCATTGTAATAAACCAGCAAAATAATACTGATTTTTTTGATGTATCCATTAAATTAAAGAATTAGCTGTATAGAAGTGACTGCTTTCCAGATAGAAGGTATCTTTTATGTTGAAACCTTACCAATTAGTATTTCAAAACAACTGAAAGAATTTTGTGTTTTGGATGCAGATAAATCTCAGTTTGCTGGAAGTAGGTGAGGGCTCTTTAATTCTGGTTTTCCTGTTTGTTGCTGAAGCAGTGAAGCATTCAGAAAAAAACAATTTCACTTTGATTAAAAGCATAAAAAGTTATCTGGTTGATAAAAAAAAAAAAAAAAAAAAGAAAAAAAAAATACAGAAAGAAAAAGGATGTTGCATAAGCTTTTAATATTTAATTTCTATACTCTAAGTATCCGGAAGAACATTTAGTTCCTGTTTTGAAAGATGAATGCCGTATATTGGAAAGTGTACTGAAGGCTCATTTGCAGTCACGATGCTTGTTTGCTTCTCTAGTATGTACGTGCAGGGAAGAGTAGAAAGGGTTGAGTGGGCAGTTGGCAGTCATTCATTGTCAGTGATTGCTAGTCATTCATAAAAAACTGCAGAGCTGAGAGGTGGAGCCAGCAGCAGCAGCCGCCTTTCAGGCTCTTGCAGAAGACGAGTTTGTGCAATCACAAGCGATTTGAGAAGCTGCTCAAATATGGTATGATGAATGTAATGAGAAGATGTGTGCTAAATGCATCTAATTAAAAGGGGCTGCTTGGAATAAAGAAAAGTGTTTCAATTATTTTCTTCTCAAGCCTACAGTGGTTTGTGAACATGGAGATCTACTGTTGGTCAGTAAAGGTGATAAATCACTTTCATGGAGTGCCCTCTAGTCTATGACACCCTGGAGTATGTATTTTGCCTTTAAAATAAGCAGTTTTAGGAAATGAATGGGTCTTGATCCAGAAATAAAAGGGAAATTATGAGGTGAGTAGGGAATATATCATTGTACTTTATAATTTGGAGACAAAAATGACAGCAAACATTTAATTTCAAGAAGAGACTGTGTCAGAAGCAGCAAGCCATCCTTTATGTTCTCACTCTAAAAATTGCTCCATCTATATTTTTTCCTAACTGCCAATCTCGTGCATGGTCTCGACAAGATTTTATTTTATCTTTTTATCCAAAGTGTGGAAGTTACAGCAGCTTGAAAGACTTATATTTTTAATTTACAAATCTGATTTATTCAAAACTGGATGTAAGTAAAAGCTGTTGTATCAGCTATTCTCTCTATCTAGTTTGGCCTATGCAGTTCCTAGCTTCTCAGAAAGCTGCAGAGCTGTCACTGCAGGCTGATCTACAACTGGCTGGGACATGGTATTTTAGGTTGGGTTATGTCCAGGCTGCCATTGCATTTAAATTTAAGGAATTCACCTGGAAGTAGAAGGTCCTTGGGTGTTAAGTTGAGGCATAGGGTCCTAAACTGAAAACACTTACTCCCTTACAGAACCAAAAATCTTCATGGAGAAACGGATTATTCACTCTTGAATTTCCTGTATTTGACCTATTTGCAGATGAACTCCTTTGTCCAGTACTGCAGTAAACATGGTCTGGAAGAAAGTAATGCTGGGCCAGGAGATTTCATTTGAAATGAAGTTCTGGAGCATTGTCTGTGTATGGTTTAGAAGGCACTGAATGTATTTGTTCCATATCAGATGGCAGAATTTCAAAGCGACCCCAGTCTCTCTTTAATAAATTGCTAATTAAATTGTACACTGTAGGCTCTTTGACGCTTTTTCAGAAGCTCTGACTAAAATACATATAAGCCAAACATCACTATGGCAATGTTCCAATCAAAGTGCATGTATGCTTTATCTCCTTTTGAGGAAGCTTCACGTTGTAGTTCAGGCAGCTCAAACTATAGCAGTCACTGTTTTCAGTAGGAGTGAGTGCATATCCCCTGGGGCTCTGGTTTCTCTTTGTTCTCAAGAATTTCTCAGTGCTCTCATTAGTATTAACATGTGTAATCTATGTACATCAAAGAAAAATACACACTTGAAGAAAGAATATTCTATGTATATTCTATAATACCTGCTGAGAGATCAGTGTATGCAAGATCAGGCTGGAGGTGAGACTTCTCCAGGTGTGTTACATTTTCTCATGGAGTGGACTGGCAGAGCCTCATGCACCAGTAAATACACTTTCCTGCAGCAGACTGGTTTCCTCTTTTGAGATGGAGAAGTGGCCAGTTGCTCAAGTCCAGCAGCACACAAGGGGTTTGATGCCTTTCTTATCCATACATACAAGTGTAATTAATCTGCTGTGTCAAAGTGAAGTGATTTACAGATGCCTAAAAAATATCTGTTCACAAGATTACGTGGGTGTTAAATGCGTGTGCTTGGTTCCTTGCATTTTGAAAAATGAAGTGCTGTACAAATACAATTTTTAGAACCATCTCTCTTCAATTTTAAGACACATTTCAGAACAGAGGAAAGAAATAAAATATAAGCTTGCATTGCACCTTACTGATATTTAATCTTTCAGAAGTTTCAGGTAATGTATTGTCTGTTCATTTTAAGCCCATTCAGCTGGATGATATTTGGAGTCTGGCTTGAAGTCCTCATCTATTACTGGAGGGCAGCTGATATTAGAGATGAGTGACACATAGCTGTTTATGTACAGCTTTAAACATTATGTAGGGGAATGTGATGCCCTGAAAAGAGTCTAAAACCCAGGCAAGCTAGTTCCACTTTAGTAATTGAGCATCCAGCCATTAAAGATACCTTTTTAGATTCCTAACGAT